TTATCACTTCCAGAGACCCTTGTTCTTATAGAGTACTGAAGTGAATACATCACGCTCACACTTACATATATATGTGTAAAAGGCATTATTAGGGAGAGAACCAGTTTGAACTGAACTTCCTGGTTCAAAATAGCATCACACTTCAGTACTCTATAATGTACAGTACATGTAGATACATGTACTGTACAAAAAACCTCATGATACATGTAGGTACAGTATAAATGCTGCATTCATTAAACATGCCGGTACATTCACATATACATGTACCGGTACTAGTACATGTACTAGTTCATGTACAAGTACTAGTTCATGTACTATTACATGTACTAAATGTAGTTCATGTACTAGTTCATGTACTAGTACATGTACTAGTTCAAGTACTAGTACATACATGCAAGTTCATGCACAGGTACATTGTAAAGTATGCAGTGACTCATTTTCTGTGTGAATGTTTGGTTCAAGCTCAAACATTTTCTTCACTGCAATGTCCAACATTTTAAGAATTTGTGCCTTTGAATTTTCTGACACTGCCAGATACCACAAATAGTATTAGAATTTCCCTTAAATTTTGTGGTAGACTTAAAGGATCTTGTTAAGTTTTTCCTGTAAGTTTACCCATGTACATGATGTGCATGTACGTACATTATAGTGTGTATGGAACTGTGGATGTATGTACACATGTAGAGTAGAGTTATCAATTTTTCTGCTCTGTATTTTGCACTCTCCATGTTTTTAAAGTTTCCTGAACCACAAAACAATATGGCATTTTTAATATGTATGTGCGATGCAGAAATGCATTAATTGCCCACTCATGCCCTGGTGTGTTTGTTTGGAGGCAAGCCGACAGCCCAGTCCTCCAAGCAAGTTTGTGGGGGTCGAGAGCGTTGACAGGATTTGCCGGGTGGAGCAGTAGTCGGTGTATAGCCAGCGGGGCTCCCCAAAAACCAAGGCAGCTTGGAATCACAAAGCCGTCACAATCCAGCCCGGCAGCTTGCAAACAAATGCCAAAAGAAAAGGCCTAACAGGGAGAATAAGACCCAGTGAAGGATGAAGCCCCCAATCTCATCCCATTGTCAGCCCTGGCGTTGAATCACAGCACCCAGATCTCCATTTTTAAACCTCTCTGTCCTTTTATTTCCCCCGACCTTTCTTCTTCTTTTTTTTTTCCAGAAGTTTCAGAGCATCACCCCTTTTGAGATGGGCAGGCCATTGAGCTCTTCCCTTCCCCCCACTTGCAATTACAGCTGAAAATTTGTGTAAGCGGAGTTGCCCGGTTGGGGCCTTTTGTCAAGGGGTTGTCAACAAAAGACGAGACTGCATTCCAGCGAGCTTGCTGGGGATGGAAGCTGGTTAGCAAACAAAAAGCCAGGGCTCTTCAGCCCAACACAAGAGCCAAAATGGCTTGGTACGGTCATCAGGGTTTTCGCAGCGGTCGCTGAACTCTCCCGCCCGCCAATTCTAACCTGTCACATCCTTCCACCATCGGTTTCACGGATTGTTGTCACATCAACAATCCAGAAACGATGGCCAGGCTATGCCCTGTGCATGTACGAAACTGTGTATCTCAAGCAAAGGCAAAGTTCTTATTTCTGCCTGATTGGACGTTTTGGAACTGTGATTTGGCGGTGGAAGTCCTTTTTTTTTAATCGCCTGTGATCGTCTATTGAGTACGCAGTGGGATCATTAGATAGATTTCTTTGGATTCAAAGGTTTAATCCCTCAATCAGGGCCGACTTAACTTCTGCTGGAAGAAATGTTGGAATTTTTTTTTTATTTTGGGTAATGACTTGCCGAAACAGGTATTAGGTTGTGTAAACAACAGGGGCCAAACCTACACGTACACATGTCACTTGCAGGCAGTTGGAAAAAACATCTTATGCAAATACCAAATCTCAAGTGAAAGTTCAAATTTATACTTGTTGGGAACCAAATACATTATTACTTTTACCCACAACACCATCGAGATTGCGCTCTCTATCTGCTGTGATCAATGATACAGAAATGCCCCATTGATGTATTTACAGAAAAAAAATAATTAGAAAACATATTCCATAGCAACATTGCATGTATATAATACGTTATCTAGAATTACATTTCAGCTCAAGTTTCACCAGTTTAAGATTTTGTTATTCTCTCTGAGTTGATTATCCTTAGACATGCAGACGGGTGCTCAGTTACCATAAACTACTGTATAGTCCAACAGTTGGTCATGGTAGTACACATCAACTGAAGGATGTACACGTGCATGTACAATGTATGTGTACTACATGTACATGTAGTTTGGGGTCTTGTGCGTGAACGAAAGGAGATGTCATGAAGTGCAATTAAGGAAAAGGACACAAGGTGTAAGTTCTTTTAAATCTTGGATTTACAGTGCACTTCAGATTGGGAAGCACAAAGTTTTTCCCAGCATGAGAACTTAGTAAACACATACATGTACATGTACAGAGTGTGTATACAGAATGGTTCCTGGAACTTCCTTCTGACATGCATGTACATGTACCTACCGGTGTGTGTGTTCTAGACTCCAATAATCCGAGGGCACAGAAACTACTCTTGAAATGAGAGTTCCAACATGTACATTACCACTTCCTTGTGTACACTGCTATTGCAAGTTAGCCCCAACCCACCGGGAATTCAGGGTCCTTTGAAATCCATATAGAAGTTCTGAAAGATTTTGGAGGATGAAGGAAGGTGCAACCTGGGCTCCTTACATGTAACATGGAACTTGATGCTCATCGATAGTACAAAGGACGCATTATTGGTTTCTTCTATTACAAACGGGTAGTGGTGATTTTTTAAGGATTCGGGAAGGATTCAAGCCAAAAAATGCTCTGGGAGTGATGTTGGGTTGATATTCATTGCATGCAGGGAGTTTACCTACATTGTCTCTTTTTCCATTTTTGAAAATTGTACATTAGCCCTAACCCCCTAGGGGGTATGTAAAATCATATTGAAATTGGAGGATTTGGGACTGTTAGGGTTAGTTTAACTAACTAACTAACACAGAATCCATTGTCATCAGTGTACAGAGTACCAGGAGTTGACCTGAAGTAGTACTAGTATGTGGGAACATCTGCGCATGTTGTACAAGTCCGTCATCTCAAGCAGACGTTGTCTACAATTTTCCATTCCAGTAACATGAAAATATAAATGTACTTGTACCGGTAGCAACCGGGGGTTTGTTGAAACTCTTTTTTATTTCTTGTTTTCTTTTCTTTTTTTTTTTGCAAGCCAAGCAGTGGAACATGAGGAATTAAACCCCCATGGGGGAGAGAGAAGGGTGGGTGAAATAGTGGGTAAAAATGAGCATGCAACACACCTCCATATTTACCAGGACAGTGTAGGGATGAGAAAAGCACCAGTATTACTTGTTACAGGTGTTTTTGTATTTGTCCTACATGTGGGTTGTACAAATGTACATGCACCATCATTTTATTGGCAACAGATCCTGCTGATTTTACCATTATACCGGTACCTTTCCCCATATGTAGATTCAATCTACACTGTACCTCTGATTGTGTAAGCCCCCTCCTCCGTCTACAATGTACCAGCTGCTGTAGCGGTACATGTCAATTTGTCTGGCATCCTTTAGTCACAATTCTGAAAGTTGTGAGCAGATTTTTGTTTTTTATTTGTAGAGAGGTGGCAAGTAAAAAAAAGCCTGAAGGTGTTGGGGCGCGCAATGGGTCACATTACGGGAGGCTATTTTGCAAAGGATTGAAGCTGGAAATAATTATGACCTGCTGACGGCACAAAGGTGCATTGGTTGCGCATTGGGGCCGATGCTCTAGGGCTCAGGACAGGAACAAATGGCCCTGCCTGGTTCGGAATCCTGTCTAATCATTGTTTACCCTGTATCCCAGCAACACATTGATGAGGGGCTTTTGACGACACAGGCCAAGTTCTGGGGATTCTCGATACTTTGCCATGCGCAAGTGAAAGTGAATTGTACCAGTAAAAGAAGCCCATACCATACTCGCTTTTCCGAACTTCTCTCTTAAAAAGAGGGGGAACCGGGATATTGGAATATTGTTTTAGAAAGCTGGCCATATGTTGACAAAAGTTGCTTTATACATGACTAAGGGTTCTTCCACTGAAAGCATTAGAAACTGTACACACAGTTGTGTTTTTATTTGTTAGTGTACTACATTTGGGTTTAGTGCATCTTGAAATTTCTTTGCTTCATGAGGACTTTCCCGTTAAATACCGGAACATGGTACAATACCTAATGCTTTGAAATATCTTGGGGGGGGGAGCTAAAGGGAGTTTAAGGGAATGAAATCTTAAAAAGTTTTCAAATCACGTTCATGTACAGAAGAACATAAACCGAACACAAAACTGCTTTTGTGTACCTCAATATGAACTGCTAAGTCCAGTTACATGCTAATTTGAGACAGTGGCACTGTTGAGCTGTATTTGTCTGGCTGGTCACGCTTCACCGATTCCGTTTAGGGTTCTTGTTTGACACCCCTGAGTGGTCTGTGTGCCATCAGGATAATCCTGCTCGATGATAATGGATTGTCAAAAGGGAAGCTTGTTCCGTCCCCCACAGCAGGATGGGACAACATTGCCGACATTGTCCTGCCTGATATGTCTCAAGGAAATAGGCTGTATTTCGAAACCGTTCTATTGTGTTGGAAACAGTGCATAAATCTTTCCTGGAGGAAAACTGGGGGAAGATAAACCTGCATTGCAGTATGCATTGTGTTGAGGTTTCTTATACCATAATTATAGCATTTACAAAACACACACCCAGTGAAATGAATAAGACGTTCAAAAATAAGAAAAGTTGAAGACTTGAAGTGAACTGCACCTGGCACCTTGGAGCGTGTACAATGTACATTATCCAGGCAACCTAACACTAATCATGGTTCAGCCATTATTACCAGTATAACTGTTATTACCAGTATCTTGAGATTGCATTTAAGTACATGTGTATACACGTGTCCTGATTGTTACTCTACGCAATAACTTTTTGGTTATACATGTAAATCCAGATTGGAACACACACTTGAACTTCAACACAAAGAGCTCCTGAGGCTGAGACGGAACCGCCAGCTGTCCGGCAGTGCAAGCAACAGAACCAGTCGCTCCACCAGCCCAACGCCTCCCTCGTTCAGATCCTACGGCTTCTCCTCCTCTTTGTCTCTCTGTCACAATTCGAGCCACAAGGTGCATGTAGGTGGATTCCTTGTCCTTATTTTAGTCACAGAATGAAGGGAAGTAATGGTCTGTGGGTGTGCCCCGCTCCTGCGCATACATGTACTACAGCCCTTCAGTATCTTTCCAGCATTTTCAGCAGCAATACGTTAGCAACATTGTGCCAATGTTTCATTTTGTTGATTGGTAAACTGGATGGAAGTGTCTCAAAATACTTTTTTGGAGGTACTCCTTAGAAAGTTGTAGAGAAAAACACTTCAAAATGCAGCTTGTCGTGATATGCTAGAATTTTTCTCCAGAAAAGTTTTGATTTTTGCCACAGGGTGGTTTTATAGTTTGACCCAAGTTAGTGACTCTCACCTTCTATATCTCACATGTAGACCTCATCGTCACACTCGTCATCAAGATGCAGCCAGTGCTCCTCTCTTTCCTCCTCCCCCAAAGTGGAACGAGCCCTCGACCAATCCACAGCCTCCAGCGGGTCACATGACTCGGGCACCCACCAGCATTCATCCACGGAGCTCCTGCCAAATCAGTACCTAGTGACGGCAGAGGTTCACCAGACCCCACCCTCTGAATGTAGCATTGAGGTATATGCATGTCTGCTAACTTGGACCCTTAACCTCAACTTAACCTTTACAGTGCTCAATGGAGTGAAATATGACAGTAATGCAAAGTAGTTGTCATTAATTAAATTTAATTAACAGTCAACAGGGTTCAGGAAGTAAATGGTGACTCCTGGATGAAATAAGAAGCAATGCTGAAAATGTTGGCATTGCCCAACACCAGCCGAGATTAATCCTGTGAGGAACTGTAGATGTTTTGGAAAATTGGAAGGAAATTTGGCATGGATGACTGGAATACCTGTTTTCTTGTCCAACAGGATGATCATGTGTTCGAGGACATACTGACTGTCCGAAAAAATGTTGATACCTTCTCCCGAGAGGTCCAGTGCTCAAGTCTTTCTGAAGAGAAGCAGGAGTTAGAGAGGAAGTACCATGAAGGTAAGACGTTGTGCAAGAGCACTGTGCAGTGTGTGCTGTGTCTGACCATAGAATCACTAGGTGTGTCACGTAGATACACGGATCATCTGAGAAGATTGACTCAAATACAGTTCAAACCTGTGACCACCAAATTGCTAGTCCACGAAGAAAGGTGTTCGCTTTTAATAGTAAGTGTTGTTTGGTGATCAGGTATGCAAGACATGTATCTTCACCTCCAGATTGGGACCTATCAGTGGAGGTCAGCATTGTGGTAGGTCCCCACAAGTCCCTGCAAGTCCCCGCAAGTCCCCACAAGTCCCTGCAAGTCCCCGCAAGTCCCCACAAGTCCCTGCAAGTCCGAGTCCCCCACAAGTCCCTGCAAAGCCATCACAAGTCATTCAGTCTGAAGCCTAGTCACAAGCTATTCAGTGAACTTCGATAAAAGCATTCTTTTGTCATTGTTCAGTCTGTTACTTGTGACTTGTCTTGTGAACGTGGTGAAGGGACTTGTAAAGGGACAAGTGTGTGATGGACATGACTACGACACTTGGTCTACCTCATAAACAGTTGTCAACCAATCAACAGCCTGGATTGCAGGATCTCACGAAATTTGTCTGTATATGGGTAATTCCAAAAATTAGGGGTCCAAAAGTGTGACATTTTCATGTCCCTGTTACTCCTGACCTTTCTTATTTGACATGGAAATATCATGGTCCTGGTAACGATTTACACAATCTCACCATTTTGGGGGCCAATCAATCTCCTTTTTCAAAAGATAGTGTGGGGGCACTTTTAATGCTAATGAGATGGCCAGAAATTCTCACTTGAATTAGTGGTCTGCACCCTGATGCTGTTGAACCGATTGATATTCAAAAATTGTTCATTTCATCAGTGAATGTTTTTCGCATGCATTCTGCAGTCTGTAATGAAAGAACGAGACTGGAAGAGGACCTCCATAAAGCGAGGCAGGAGGTCATTGACCTCAGGAATCAGCTGTGCATCAGTGAGGCGCTTCATGAGGAGGTTTGTGCATTAAGTCAGCTCTATGACGATTCAGTGACTCTGGACTTGAAATTCTGAATCATGCATAAGGTGGAATTCCGCCCAGATTTTCTCTTGGACGCTGCTTGTCAGACTTCGTCAAGCTGGCCTGAAACAATTGTCATTGTCTCCTACTTAGTCTTGCTGTGAAGTTGTGGTGTATACATTAACCTATAAATGCTCCCCAGTAATCATCTTGGAAATTTTATATGTTTGTATTTTAACTTTTCTAAGCAACAGTAAGACACATTAAATCATTTTTTTTTATTTTTTGGTCTTCAATTTCCAGCAGAGTAAAATTTGTGATTTGCGAATAGAAAATGAGCTGCATGGCAGTTGGTTAGATGCTTCAAAAGACATCACTGACAACCAATCAGAGAACTGTATAAACCTGCCAGCACTAAGCCCCACCGAGCACCTTCGCCGTCATAGCAACCCTAAAGCCAGGTGAGTCTTACAAGTTGAAATTGATCTAGGGCAGTTTGTTAAAATTTGTTGAGTGCTTGGTAGAAGGACATTCAGGCATTTTCTTCTTCAAAAAAAAAAAACAACTCTCAGTGGCTTAATTACTCATTACTCTCATTACTGCATTATATGTAGTTGGATGTGTGGATGTGTTTTGCGACTTTTTAAAATTAGAATTTAAGAATTTTTAATTCTTTGATTTTGATAATGGGAGTCATGTTGACATTTAATCATAGATTTATTGTCATACAAGATAGCTGTGATACTTGATCACTGTGTGAGACTGGAACTGTCAATGGACAAGTTCTAGGAGTGAATTTTAGTGAAATGATGTAAGCCAACGTTTGGCACATTCCGACATTATGGGTAAGTGCAAAAACTGATTCTACGCATATTAACTGCTGCTTCTTCTTTTCACGTTGCTACAGCTTAGCTTCATCAAGTGTTCCAACATCAGTCAGCCCCCACCCACCATCTCAGCCACGCACCCAGTCACCCCCGCATCCACCCTCGCCTCACTTCCTCGCTGGCTGTCTGTGCACACCTTGCCAGAAGCTGCAGCAGGAGGGCGCCAGGCAGGTTCTGCCATCTCAGGGGTACACCATGATGAGGGGACTTAACCACAGGTCAGTGATCATCGTCTCATTCTTCATTGTCCACCGTGTATGATAAATATTCACTGTTCCACACTTTGGTTGGAAGTTCATACCCCTTCAGGGGCACTTTGTGTTTCTGTTCTGTTTTTCTTCTTGTAAATATATATGTAAAAAGGAAACATTCCTTTTCACAAAACCTCGTTCTCTTGCCTAATTGCAGGCCTTTTTTCGAATTATAAGTGAGAGATGAACACCATATACTTTTCTCAAATACGTGAAATTTCAAACGTTTCTCAAATGTCGAGCAAAAATGACAAAGTCCTACTTTATATCCATAAATAGTTGAGAATGTTACTGTCACTTTCCGCCTAAACAAATATACATGTGCTTTCTGTGCTGTTCATTGTTCATGCTGTCATTCTGTTCGTACTTTTTCCAACCAACCTCCAGTTTTACAATTCATCTTGATGATCATGTGGCTACAAAAGGTGACAGGACAGGTTTGATCCGGTACATAGGCCATCTGGACAATGCCAACTCAACTCAGGCAGTGTACGTGGGCTTGGAGCTCGACGCACCAGGTATGAGCACCAGGGACTTCAGAAAGCAAAGACGACATGTACCAGGGGAAAAAAACAGTCACCACAAACAAAACACTATTGAGAGATGTCACCAATGCCATCTTCACCACACGTGAAATTTCTTCATATGTAATAACCTATGCTTCAGGGTTGTTCTGTACTACTGGTACATTTTATGGCCGCCCAATAAACAGCACCTTGACGGGTTGCTTGACATTTTGCCGAATGTCTATGGTCAGTTGAATTCAAAGACTTTCTACGAACTGGATAAACAGAATTAATGGAATGCTTTTATTGCAGTTGTGAATAACTTGGGATGTGATTTGTGACTGTATGACTTGTGATGAACCTGCGGGGACTTCTGATGGTGCTTGCCTACAAGACTGTAGTTAAAACATGTTAGTTCTTACGTGAAGTTCATTATTGAGCGCCTGTTCAAATCTGCCGTTTGGCTGAGCCGCAACTGAAATAGTGTGTTCAGTTGTACTAATTTTGCTTTTGTTATGTGCAGATTAAGGTTACATCTACATGCCTTTCCTACTTTTTTTTCCTGACTTTCTTTTGTTTACAGTTGGTCGCCATGATGGCTTCACTCATGGAAAGCGATACTTCTGGTGTCATCGTAATCACGGGCTCTTTGTGCCAGTTCAGGACATTGCTGCGATCATCAAGAAGGTGAGGCCCGCTTTGTCTTGAGATGCTTGAGTTCAGTGTTTACCTGGACAGCTTTCTGAGCAAATAATCAGGCTTACACCATGAAGTTGGCCTGCAGTTGTGTAGAGAGAATATTTGATTCATCATTATCTGAGAAGAACCCTCATTTTTTTTCCCATTTTATTACCCCCCCCCCGAAAAAATGAATTGAAGTACGCTTGTTGTCAAGTAACCAGTAACCCTCATTACCTGCGAAGAAGAGAGGAGCTGGATTGGTGGACTGCTTCAACTGGTTACCTGGCCCATATGCAAAGACTGCACGTTTCAACCCAAGTTGGTCATACTCGCACAGCATGGCTTGCAGCAAGCGCGCATGAGCGTGTGTGCACACACGCATGGTGTGCCCCAACCAAATGGACATTGTCACCACATTATAGCTGCCATGTGTTGTAGTAGCGTGGAGCTTTGAATGCGTTGTTTTTGTGCCATTTTTCCTTCCAGCCTGTGAAGAGACCGAAGACGGTGGACCCAAGCCGTCGCCATGGGTCGGCCAATCACAGCCTCAAACACCCGCCGAGGAGCCATGCAGTAGAGGTGAAGCATAACAAGTCAGGGAGCCACACATCATCAGGGAAGAGACTCCTATCAGCCGATAGCACCAGTCTCAAACAGAATAGGTAAGTTCAGTTTGAGTTTCTGCCATAGTTGGCAGTAAGGGCGCATACTGATGGAAGCCAGTGGCTAGGATTCACCTGTTGACCAGTGTGCTGCAGTAAGCCACAGCCAATGCAGATGCAGCCTTATCTTTTGAATGTGGAAATGTCACACTTTGTGCAACATACATCTGACAAGAAGTGAACATGATTTTTTTCTTCTCTTCTTGCTCTCTCTCGACAGAGTTCTTCCAACTCCGTCAGTCACATGATGCTTGGCCAAGAACAAACTCAACATGTCACAACTCCTGATGCTTCAAATTGTCCAATGCAGACAGCTCTAACAATTTTCTAAGCATTTTCATGAAGTGTCTTAAATTCAGCAGTTGGCAGTGTACGTCAAAAGTGTAGTCAAAAAGGCAGGTTTCAAAGTGTCTTCAGTTTGGTCCAGTGTGCGTGCTTCCTGAATGCACCAAAATTGCACTTACATGTATAGGATAAAAAACAAATTGGAGAATTAAAAATGAGTGGTTTGTAGATATTGAATGTTCATTTCTCCAACTTTAACTTCATAAATTGATGGCAATTCCATTTTCTCATTTTGATTATCAAAGAACTTGGAGGTGCTTCTTTTATATGTGTGTTTAGTCTGTATCACATTTCAACTGAAGAGTTTTTCATAGGGAATTTTGATGGCTTTTGTTGAAACTGATACACAAAATACTGTGATTTTTTTAAAATCTGTATTCCTATGAAAACAGTGCTAACAGTTCTCAGTTTAAAAGAAAAATCTTCTTTTGCTTCCTGCCAAGGTGTGACTGTCGTCAGACCATCTTTGAATATATCAGAAAGCATGTTTCATTTAAAAAATCTTGTGTTCAATTGAAGTCATTCCAATATCTGCCTCTTTTGACATACGTCTTTTTGAAAATTTCTTTTATTGTTTTGGCTGTGATTGTTGTTTCTTCATCATTTGATCACTTTGCATGCACTTTAATTTTGTTGTCACAATCATTTATTTTGACTGGTGGCCTTTTTCTTTGGGTCACAAACTCTGCACATTTTCACATCAACAATTTCAAGTTCAGGCTCATGCCATTGTCGTACAAAAATTGTGCTTTTAAATGGCACAGCAGGTTAAAACCATTCCCGAAGTATCATTGTCAGATCAAACAGGAACTGTGAAACCTTTTCTTTTCAGTGTTTTTCAATGGGATTTTTTCCAGCTGGTCTGTGGTTGATGGCAGCCTCTCCATGCATCGCCATCGTCTTATCTCCTAGAGGCAAATATAACGTAATAATGTATGAGCCTGTTCTTGAGATGGTTGTTCTTTTTGACAGGGTACCGTTGTACCTACTTTAACTGTACACATTCACCTCTGTATATTTCGACAAAGTTATTTGCCATCCTTGTGTTTGTTTTGATTAGTGTGTGCATTTCCTTAAAGGAAAATCTGCTTAATTGTCTTCCCTGCTGCACTTTTGGGGTCATCGTACATGTTTTGTGTGTGTGAGTTTGTTTCTGCA